GTGTGCAAAATTTTGTTGATCTAGCATTAACAGAATTTAAGTAAATGCAAAAAATGTACCCCCAAAATGACTATTTTTCAGCGTTATGCGGTTGCGCTTTGAAATTACAGCATTTTTCAATTGAAATAATTGTTAAATATCATACATTATCATGCCAATGATCATTATCAGACTTCAGAATTTATTTTACAAATTATATTGGTGCTTAAATTTTCAGAATTGAATAACAACTTTTGAAGATATGAAAGAAAATGTAACAGGGTGCAATGTTATACATTTTTCACATAATTTGACCCCTCTCATTATGCCAAATAAAAATAATGTCCATATTATTTAATTTTTCAGATTTCTGTATAAAATCACAGTATTAATGCTCTGTTACTTACAGAAAAAAAGTTGGGTTATGTAACCATTGTAAAGAAATTTCATCATGTTTTAATGTGGAAAATTAAGTTTTTACAAAAAACTGTAGTGTCCGTAACCACTTAAATTCTGTGAAATTGGAAGGCTCTATAAATATCTGAACAAATTTTCTAGAGAAGCATTTCATATAAATGCTGAGATGTGGTGTAATTTTCCTGATCATCACCACTGTTTCTCTGTTATGATCACAAATGTGGTTACGGACACTACAAAATCCTGTAGTGTCCGTAACCTGTACTTGAGGCAGTTTGAAACAGGCTGTGTTAAAACACTAATGCTAGTATATTCACAAAGGTCAGAGGTTTGTTTAACAAGTTAATCAATGTACTTTATTTTCTCTCTCATTTTGATAATGCAACTAATTTGGGAAACCCAGATTGCACCATTCCATATACAAGATCCTTGGTGTTACATCACCTTGATATTGGCAGATGCTATTGACATCCTAGGATTTAAGTCAAATAGCATTTCATTATTTTTTCATTGTTTAAGTCAACTGGTGTTACATTTAAGAAAATCTTGTTAGAATTCCTTTATTTAAGGTTAAGTTTCATCCTATTTTAAATAACTTGTATAGTGTAGTGTCCGTAACCCAAAAGTTGAAAAATGAATATCTTTATTTTTTTCTCCATAAAATTTACAGATACATTTTTGAACCAATGTATTATTAAATTTAGAGATAAAAAGGTGTTTATTGGCTGGAATTCTTTTAGATTAGATGGGTTTTTTTTGTTACTGCTAGAACTTAAAATAAAGACTGGCCACCCAAAATGACATAAAAATAGTTAGAAATTATCTTCATGAGTTACATAATCCATATTTCTTGTAATATATTGCATCAATTGTCTAGTTGCTAATTAGGTAATATCTTAAAATGTGTAAAATGCAAGTAAATTTGCATTCAAAATGTTAAACAGTAGGGAAGTAATTTGGTTACGGACACTACAAAAAAAATCAAAAAAGAAAACAACTAAAATTACACCAATTTCAGATAAATTATTGTATATTTAACTGTTTGAAGAAAAATAGAATGCTTCATAGAATAAAAAAAATAAATTAAAGAAATATAAGTGAGCTTTATTCTTCAAGGTTTTACTTTTCTACTTGCACATAACACCTGTATAAAGTTACATGTGTATATTTACATCCACTGAATATTTTCTTCTTTGTTTCTTAAGAAAACCCATTGCGTTCATCACTGCACGAACTGCATTAGGCATATCACTTGTACAGATTTCTTGATCAGTGGCCATTCCATCAATGAAACGCACAAAGACGTTCGCATCATTAACACAATAATTAATATTTTTAATCCTACTTAAAATGATAATTTAAACAGATATAAATATATACAATAAAATGTCTTTCTTTGTTTGTTATTACTGGAATGAACGGTCGCAGCTATTGCAGAAAAAATTTACATAACCCGCTTACGCGGGTTATGTATTTTTTCTGCAACAGCTGCTTCCGTTCATTCCAGTAATAACAAACAAAGAAAGCATTTTATTGTTTAAATATATTTATTCAAAGTATTTTGGTTATGGTATGCTTTTATCAGATGAAGTTGAGATCCCAAGAATAAAAAAAGTCGGGAGAAACAGAAACGACAAATAAAATCCTGAAAAAGTTAGGAAAAGGGCTGAAAAACAAAAACTTCATCCTCAAGTCTGTGAAAAATTTAAGTATTGTGTAGTGTCCGTAACCCTTAAATTTGGTTAATTGACTTCGTTTATCAGTGTACCTATATTCTAAATAGTTTTCATAAAACTTTAATGAATTAGAGAATTTCTCTTATGCACTTCAGATATATAGTTATGTGAAAAAAGGAAGTTTCAGGATTTCTTAAACTGGATTTTTTTTACTATTGGCATTAGTTCTGCGAGTGAATTGTTTTTACTTGAAACAATATCTAATTTTCATGCATTTTGTATTTAATAATCATTTAAATCTGATTTCTAATAGTTCAGTAGTTTATAAATTTTTATTTTTTTTTTTACCACAAACCAAAAGCCAATCATAAACATTTGGGTCTTTAGTGTCCGTAACTTAATAAAGCTATCAAATTATTTTAGAAAATAATATTTCCTATTTTGATAGAAGTATTTATATTTCAACAAAGGCATAAAAAATGTTATTTATAAATGGTTCTTTCTTTATTTATATTGGTTTTAAAGAGTTCACATAAATTGAAATACTACCATTTTAAACAAAAATGAACAAGGTAAGAACTGTTTTCATATTAAAGTATAATGCAACCTTTTTAGTACAACTTTTGTCCATATTTTTTATTTTTATATGTTGTTTGTTTGTGAGCAGTTGAAAAAATTAAAGTTCATAAACAGTTTTCAATATTTATTTAAAAAACAACAACACTTGTAGTGTCCGTAACCTGTGTAAATGAGGTTATTATCAGCTTGTAAAAAACAAAGTTCTAATGTGAATTTCACAAAACCGTTTATGTTTCAGATCCTTGAGATAATCTACTTTTTAGAAAAAAAATTTTGGACCAAAATAAAGACATTAATTTTTTACCCTCAAGTGCAACCTTACTGTCCCCTTTATTGTGTTTCACCCGTTGGGAAACTGAAATAGACCCCCTGAAAATAACTCTAGACCCCCCATCCCTCCTAAGTTGAATACGTCTGTACAATAAATAGACTGAAAATATGCAATTTGGTTCAATTGATGTTTTAAATATGTAAAGTTATGAGAAATTTTAAAAGTTAAGTTTTCATATGAGCTACATTGGATTATTTTATAGCAAAATAATTTATATTACATGAAGAATAACATGTACCAAAATTTTAAGAAACATTTATATGGAGACAAAATATTGTCCATCATAAAAAGGCTGATCCTGATCTACCTCTCTCATTTCAACAGCAGCATGTATGAATTTCTGGCTGATCTCAAGCAACATAGTTCTAGACAAAACTATTTAACTTACCGTGTAAGATTATCTATGGAAATAAATCATGTTAATTGTATTATATAGGTTAGCTTTATATCTCTCCAGGGTTTTAGTAGTCACATGTATTACATGTAACACAAGGTGTTCTAGCATTCAACATTTTACTCCCAACAATGACTCCAAATGGGATCTTGAATTTATACTTTATAATAATACTTGATATGCTATCTTTTTAATGTTCATAATAAAAAACAGAAAATGAACCTCCCCATCACTTTTTAATTTTGCTTTTTCATCAAACTAATCTGTATAACTGAGCTGTGTGAATCACTTCTAATGACAATTACAGATCTATGCCTATTAAAATAAACGTATTTATTAATGTTACACAAACACGTGTTTGTGTTTGTGTATTCTTGTCATCTATTGGCTGTTAGAATGGTCACCTAGTCAGGTGACATTAATATTCATAGCACGGGCTATTACTGACCGTGAAAGAAATTCTGTATAGGGAAAGCCATTCGAAGGCTCTATTTCGTGCAGTCTACACGTTTTCGTCATTCATCATATTCTGTCATGGGCGATTCTGGAGACGAAATTTTGCTAGAGACTAATGATAATAAGAAAGTTACAAAGGAAACTACTGGTAGTAATCCTCCGTTGGATATTTCGGACGTGGTGAAGCTTGTTACAGGAGTTTTGCAGTCACAGTTTCAAAACCTTTCAGGTCAGCTTAAAGCAGAACAGTCGGAGTCCATTGCTAAGAAACTTAAAGAAAACTCTACTCTTAAGATTAAATCTGAAGGGAATCGCGCTCAGTACGATTTTAATGCTGAAATTCTTGAGGGTCTAGAAAAACTAGAGATAAGAGCTTTCGAAAATAAAGACAGTGAATCAGTGTCAATAATAGGCGAATTGCGGAAAAAACTGAAAACGCGCCAGAAATATATTCGTATTGCCGATTCATCTCCTGCAGGGTGGAAGACAGTAAACGAGTATCAGTCCAGAGAAATTGCCGACAACTCTGACGATGAGAAGAAAATTAGAAGCGCTGAAAACCGAGCCCTTAGGCAGCAAAGGCAAACCCAGAACAAGCGTTTCCACCCGTATGGCTCCTACAGAGCTTCTACAGCGTCTGCAGCGGCAGGCTCGGCAGCCCAGCTTACTTCTGGTTCTTCCTCTACTGCTACATCTCAGCCATATACATATCAGCAGCAGCCCTTTCGTGGCAAACTCACAAGGCGTCAACCACAGCCCAGCGACGTATGCTTCAACTGTTTTTCCACTGGACACTGGAAAACCAACTGCCCCAAAAACAAGTCACAAAGTCAGTGATAAGTATACAGGTTATACAAGCTATTCTACTCTTGCTGGCCAGGTGAAATGCCTTCAGAAAAATAATTCAAAACAAATGTCATTGATAAAGTACAATTTGAAAAGAAATGTTAGTAAATGGAGAGAAATTGGCACAAATCCTTTTATTTTGAAAGTTATTGAATCTGGATATGAAATTCCTTTCGTTTCAAATCCTCCTTCTATGTGTTTTCAAAATAACAAGTCTGCTATTAACAATTTTGAATTTGTTACTTCAGAAATTTCAGAATTGATGGAAAACAAACGTATTTTAGAAGTTCCTTTTCAGCCATATGTGTGTAGTCCACTGAGTGTCGCCGAAAACAAAAATAAAAAGAGATTGATCCTTGATCTAAGTAGGCTAAATAAATATGTCAAGTATGATAAAATAAAATTTGAAGACTGGAAGACGGCATTAGATTATTTTGAAAAGGGTTTTTACTGTATTAAATTTGATCTGAAATCAGGATATCATCACATAGATATAGCTGAGAATTATCAAACTTATTTAGGATTCCAGTGGGAAAACAAGTATTACTGCTATACGGTTCTCCCTTTTGGTCTATCGTCAGCTCCATTCATTTTTACTAAATGCTTAAGACCCATCGTAAAATACTTGAGAAAAAATGGCATTATGATTGTATTATATTTAGATGATGGTTTGGCGTTCGCTTCTACTGAGGACCAATGTCTTTTAGATTCTCAATTTATTCAGAAAACGTTGTCAGAAGTTGGTCTGGTGGTTAATGTTGAGAAATCACATTTTATACCAACACAAGTCATTGAATGGTTAGGTTTAACATGGAATTCAAATCTATTCTCTATTTCAGTTCCGGACAGACGAATCGATGATGCTATCTGTTGTCTACAGAAAACTATCATTCATTTTCCCGATGTAACAGCGAGGGAACTTGCAAGAGTAGTGGGGAAGATCATTTCTATGACTCCAGTAATGGGTAACATTTGCAATATTATGACAAGGTTTTCTTCTATGGAAATTGCTTTGAAAGAATCATGGGATTCTAAGCTATTTTTCAAGCATAAAGATCAAGTGTTTGAAGAACTAAAATTTTGGGTAGAATGTATGCGTTGTGACAGTACAAGATTTTTACATTCTGTTAAAAGAAAAAACGTAATCATTTATTCAGATGCAAGTAATTCAGCATCTAGTGCATATACTGTTGAAGTTAATTCTAAGGTGTTCCATTTGATGTGGAAAGAACATGAGAAAACTATGAGTTCTACATGGAGAGAGTTGAAGGCCATAGAATTGGCGCTGGCTTCTTTTAAGAAAGAACTACAAAATATGACAGTAAAGTGGTTTACAGATAATCAAAGTTGTGCGAATATAGTACACTCTGGTAGCATGAAGCATCACTTACAAGTTTTAGCATATAATATTTTCAAAATGTGTGCCGAAAACAAAATTTCCCTCGATGTTCAATGGGTTCCGAGATCAGAAAATGAAAAGGCAGATTTTTTCAGTAAAATTATTGATCACGATGATTGGGAAGTTACTAATGAATTTTTTGAATTTATTAGTTCTATGTTTGGTCCTTTCTCTGTAGACAGATTCGCAAACTTTAACAATCGTAAACTTGTTAGATACAACTCAAAATTTTGGAATCCTGAGTCAGAGGCTGTAGATTGTTTTACACAGAATTGGGTGGGCGAAAACAACTGGCTAGTTCCTCCCATTCATTTGATAGTTTCTACTATAAAACATCTATTAGATTGCAAAGCATATGGTATTTTGATTGTACCTAACTGGCCCTCAGCTGTTTTTTGGCCAATGTTATTCGATTTAGAACTGTCTTATAAGGCGTATGTGAAAGATGTGTTACTGTTTAAAGATACAAGTGAGATAATCAGTCAAGGTCAGAACAAGAACTGTCTATTTGGTTCTATATATTTTGGCTCTGGAATACTTGTGGTACGTTTAGACGCTACAAATTTGTAGTTTATGATGGTGTATTGCAGATGGTTTAGGCCCTGGTACACTTTAAACAAAGATTTTTGCCGAGCTGGGCAAATGGATAGATGATGTATTGCAGATGACAAGTGGTCCTGGTACATCAGAGAGGGTGTATTGCAGATGATGAAGGTCCTGATACACCATATAATATGTTAAAGTTAGAAGATGCTAATTTTTTGCTTTAAAAAACACATTTTTCAGATATATTTAAAGTGGGCAGATGGACGGGAATTAATTGTGGATTACAGGATCATCGTCTAGCGGAACTTGCTTCTGAACTACCCAGATATTGTGTAACATCTAAGGCCGAAAATACAGCAAAACAGTACAGGTACGCTTTTAATACCTTTTGTAAGTGGTGTAGCAGCTTTAACCCTGGAATTCAATCACTTCCTGCTTCGGAAAACAACGTTGCACTATATATTATACATTTAGCAAAACAATGTAAATCGTCTGGCACAATACATTCAGCTATACATGCCATCAGTTGGGCACATAGCCTAGCAGGTTATATAGATCCTTGTGACTCAGCTTTGGTAAAAACTGTTAAGGAAGGGGCAGTTAGAGAGACATCAAAACCAGTGATTAAAAAAGAGCCTATAACGCCTGAACATTTGAAAACTCTGGTTTCTACATTTGGAGAGGATGGAAATTTATACAATTTAAGAACATTGTGTATGTGCTTATTAGGTTTTGCAGGATTTTTGAGATTTTCAGAAATAGTTAACATTCGTTACTCAGATATCTGTATACAGACTAATTGTGTAGAAATTAACATTGTTAAAAGTAAAACAGATGTTTATAAAACTGGTCATAAAGTTTGTATTGCTAGAACATTTTGTGATACCTGTCCTGTAAATATGTTGGAAAAGTTTTTAAAATTGTCAAATGCTGACATGCATTCTCCTCTGTTCTTGTTTAGATCTCTGTCATTTTGTAAAAAATTCCAAACTTATAAACTGAGATCGGATAATCGTCCAATTTCTTATACAAGAGCAAGAGAAATCATATTGGATTCACTTGAAAAGATTGGTTTAGACAAGTGTAAATTTGGTGTCCACAGTCTGAGATCAGGTGGCGCTACCTCCGCAGCCGCCGCAGGTGTTAGCGACAGACTGTTTAAAAAGCATGGGCGGTGGAGGTCGGAAAATTCTAAAGATGGTTATGTTAAAGAAAACCAAATTGAAAAACTTTCAGTTACTAAGAATTTGGGCATTTAGGATATTCGTTTCAGTTCTAATCTTCTTTATCTTCGAAATAATTAAACTGCACTTTCAGAGCGCTTCATATCCTATTTCACGAGTTTGTGTTTATTTCATAAATGTTTTATGTTCGTTTGAGTGAAACGAATAAGAACATAAACGTATTTATTAATGTTACACAAACACGTGTTTGTGTTTGTGTATTCTTGTCATCTATTGGCTGTTAGAATGGTCACCTAGTCAGGTGACATTAATATTCATAGCACGGGCTATTACTGACCGTGAAAGAAATTCTGTATAGGGAAAGCCATTCGAAGGCTCTATTTCGTGCAGTCTTATTAGTCCCACCCACCCGCCCATTGCTTAATTTGAATGTTATATTAGATTTATACCTTGTTGAAAATATTTATTTTCTATTTTGTAGAATTCGGACATTGATGAGGACAAAGAGATATTATATGTATTGTGTGAAATAATTAAACTGCACTTTCAGAGCGCTTCATATCCTATTTCACGAGTTTGTGTTTATTTCATAAATGTTTTATGTTCGTTTGAGTGAAACGAATAAGAACATAATAATGTAACTTCACTACCTAGGCTAGATCTTTGATAGAAACAGGACAAGTACTGTAAACGTATTACATTTGGCTGTGTATTCTTTTTAGCGCTTTTGGCGGAAAGACACTTCCGCTAATTCAAGTACAACGCTAAATGTTTTGTACTTATATACGTAAATAAGAACGATGAGAAATGCGCTAAATTAAATCTACGCTAACTTGTTCAAAACTCAATTTCCGCCAAATATCGTACACGCTAAATATAATACATTTACAGTATTACTAATAAAATGGTTCACACACAGAGCAAACCCCATTCCCCTATCAGAATGGCTTGCAAGAATACCTGATTATATGTGTATTTTAATTATCCCTGTAGTTAAAAATTAGACAATATTGTGTCACCTTGCCTGACAGTGCATTATTCCTAAATTACAAAAGTACTGTACATCACTTTCCTAAAAGGTATGGAGGATTATTTTCTTAATTCCCAGAAGGAAGCACATTCTTGTTAGTAAAGGTTTAATTCATACACTGAAAAAGTATTACCACCTAAAAAGTACTGTGGATCATTTTAACTTTTGTCATACATTAAAGCTCTACTGAAGTCTTTTAAATGCCAAATCGGAGTCGGCCATATTAGTTTTCGATAACCCTACTATCTGCTAACCAGGTACCACCCAATTGTGTGGTCACGCACGACTGATTTAGTCAGTCGGTTTCATTCGAATAGGATATTCGCCAAGGCCTATTTGTAAAATTTTTATTCAATAAAATAAAAGGCAGAAGTATCTCAAATTCTGAGATAAAATAAATGCTTTTGAAAGCATCTTTGGTGTTGAGCAACGCTGATAACACGCAGTTACATAGTCACAGAAGTTGGTACTTGTGCAGCTGCATTCCACGTGCACTAAAAAGCTGAAGTTCCTGGTTGTAAATATCCAAGACAAGGCCGAAGGTAAGATAAACGAGCATAAATGCAAAAGCACCTAAAAAATAAATTACGAACCAAAAAATATATTTACTTCGTAAAAAGTTTGCAATGTGACAGGACCTCAGCTGACCGACCGACGACACGTCTGCACTCAGCACGATTTGACCGTGTTATGCCTTGCCCATGCGCAAAGGAAAGACTGGAGTGAAAATGAAAGTAGACCCAAAAGCACATGTGTAAACACAGGGGAGCTATTATTATAGCTGTTCACGAATAAAAGTGACAATAGATAAGTACAATTGTTGGCGAATTGTAAAATTAAATCGTTTTATATTGCTTTAAAGTGTCAGCAGTATGAACATCGATATTTCGGACAATGCCAGTTATTGTGACGATGAAGAAACCGAGCACCTGGAGCACAACATCATGAACATGTAAGTACTAACTAGAGTGCAAAAATGAAAAGTATTGAAGCATCTGTGCACTGCTAATCTTCAAGCAAGTAATATTCATTAATTTTATCTTTTCTGATTAACTCATTTATTTCCTTTAATGCAAGTGCGATAGGTGCATTGCAGGCTTGACGAGCTGCATATAATAATATTTACACATGCTGTATTTGCATTCAGTTATGGCCCAACCCAATCTATTTTACCATTGTCACAAAATTAGTTTTGGGATTTGTTTGTCAGTTTTTTTTTTATAATTGAAGAAATCAGAATAATTAATTATTTGATTTGTCTTGTATGAATATTGCAGTAATATCAAGCTGTCATTATATCTTTTAAACACACAGAATACTAATCAAATAAATAAGATCATGAAGGAGATATATTTGGATCTTCTGGTTATAAGGATGATGACAATGGTGAACGTGATGAAGAAGAGGCGTCCGGCTGGTGGGCGATGAATATAAGATGTGGAAAGATATATCAAGGTTTGTGAATGGCACATGCTGATTGATTGATTGATTGTATATTTTTTAACGTCTTTCTCGAAAATTTTTACTCATATGGAGACGCCACCACTTGCTGGTGGAGAGTTGCAAATTTTGTCCTAGGTCTATTGAGCAGGGAGGGATCTTTTTCATGCCAGCACCTTTTGCAACACGGGACCTCGGTTTATACAGTCTCATCCAAAAGACCGGTCTCCACATCGCACAGTGGGATTCGAACCCGCCACGTAAGGATTGACTCCTTAGTTCATGACTCTAGAGCAGATGCTCTAACCACTTCGCGAAGTGGGCGACACACTGTAATGAAGAATTAGTAACAAATTTAGTAGTTTTTATAACTATAAAAATAGCATCTGCCGTAAATAGAGTAAAACAAAGGTAGGAAAGATATGTTCCATTCATTTTTACCTCACAATAAAAATCATATAAAATGATGGTATAGAATGTCACAAACATTATGACTCTATTTCCATTTCTATTTGTTTTCTCTGTGATATTTCTTTGAGAGTTATGCGAGTTGATTTCTTGATAATTCTACTGGAATGAAAATTTCGCTAAGTTAAAGATCAGCAGCTAAGAAGGCCTCATTTGTGTCTAACCTCAGTGGACAGGGACTTTTGAAATTGAGAGAGAGGATCCATGTGATTTAAATCTATTAGTCTAGACAACATTGTATGCAAATTGTATGCACATTTCTAATATTGTTGATGTCCTGGCATACCCAACAAGCTAAAAAGTGATTCCCTAAATTTATGTTATTACTACATTAGTATGCAATTTACTACACAGTGGTATAATTTCAAAATTTTACTGTCTTTTGATATGATTAAAATGTCTCAAACTCTAAGGAACTGGATGCAGTGATTTGTTACCTTAAATATTCATGTAAATTACTGTGGGTTTTTTGTTTGTCTTGATTTACAGATTGCTACTGTAGCATGTAACATGAAAGATTTAAAACTTAAACAATTTGAATATTTTCTCTTGTATATTTTCTTTCAAGGAATACTGATGATTATGACAAGATGGAGATGGATACCCTTTCAGATAGATGATTTATTGTTGGAGAGAGGGAAATATTGGACCTGCTTAAAAGGAGCATGTTTCAAAGAGTGAGGTGGACCAATACTCCGCTCTTCGTTGTTAGGCAGAGAAAATAGCTGCAGGAGTAAAGTACATGTATTAATTTACCTGCACAGTACATATGTAAGTACATGTATTGCATACCAGTTTGAAGCTCATTTCTAAAGTTTCATGTTTAATAATGAAAAGAACATTCAGAGTAAGATGTTTTGAGGATAACTTCAATCCTACATTTCATTAACTTATTCATTGCATTGCTATAATGAAGTAAATTACTTTAAAGAAATGATTAATGGGTAGTGTAATTCATGATTTAAAAAGAAGGATTTGTTAATGAATAGTAAAGAAAAAATGACATGCTACATTATAAATCATCAAAATTATAAGGAGACAGATTGAAAATAAATTTATCAATAATGTCTTTTAAAAGCTTTTAAAAAAAAAGAAATTTTAGGCCTTACAAAGAGAGAAGCATAATTGAATATAAGAAATAATAAAAAAGTATAATTATACAGTTTTTCCTGTATTACGTAACAGAATTCCACATTTACCATTTCATTTTTATTGCAGGAGGGTCATGTAGGAAAATGGATGTCTACACAATTTTATGGAGAGAGAAATGCTGTTGCAATCCTGCTGCAACTTCTGGTCCTTCATTTTGGGGTATCATGGGATTAGTTTACCGTTGGTGCCAAATTTATTGATCTTGCATAAGGATCAGCAAGACAATTCTACAGAATGCAACCTCAGTACAGAGTATGTTTTACCAGTAATGCTTGTCATGAATAGATTTCTCTACATTTTTAAGAAAAGAAAACCTCTCATTTATTGCAATATTTTCTGCAATTTTTGATAAAAGTTTGTCTTCATATTGGGCATATTACATTTGGAAAAAATTTTATTCAGAAGCAAGAATAAAGTTTTCAAGTCTCATGTAAAGTCAATGCAGTGATATGAATATAAATCAAGGACAAAATAAAAAATACAGTAATTTCATGCATTTATATGGTATTACACGACTGTGCAATTTTAGGAATTAGGTTGCTGTGCATTAGGTTTACCAGCAGAAACAGAGAAACAGAAAACCAAGCAGTGGATTGTGTATAAAAAGAAGTCAATTAAAGAATACACATATATTGCAGGTATTAAATTTTATGCAATATACGTTTTATTTATTTTGAGTTATTCAATTTAGTAACCTTTATAATGTTTAGAAACTTCAATAAATTATATACACATTTATATATATATATATATATATATATATATATATATATATATATATATATATATATATATATATATATATATATATATGCACATATTTTTTTCTAAGGGTGTAAATTTATATCATTTGCTTTACATTCAATTTTACTGATCACTTGTACTTCTATTACTTTTTTGATAAAATTTTTTGTTCATGAAGGTATTAAAGGAAATGTTCTAAATTTACTTTTAGAACTTGAAGGAAGTATAATGGAGTCCTTGTGCATGTAATACAAGGAGTAAGAATTCCAAAGACCATGACAGCATCTCTGCCAATTTATCAGGCCTCCTAAATCCTGGATCAAGGCTTTTACTTTCAGAAATGAAAAGAAGAAAAAAAGAGTGGTAAGTTTTAAGTTTTTTGAGAGTCAGAATTAGTTTAATGATAGATAGCGTCTGTATGCTCCATCTAGTTTAGGGAAACCTCCTCCTAACTGCCACTTTCACACAAGAAGGCACTGGAACTCTCCTTCCTGCTTCAGGAGGACCATGCTGCCACAAAACAAAATCACATTTTCCTGGTTCCTGAAGGCAGAGGGTGCAAACAGGGGTTCAAGATTATTATGAAAATTTTTGTTCAGATTGATGAACCTCATGCCACAAACACAGATTTCTAAACTCTGGTTTTTGGGGTAATGCATGGAGATTGACAACAGCATAGGATGCGAGGATCTTAAAATACTTTTCATTCTCCATAGAAACACCATGCAATTTCTGAACTGGAGTTTTCATACTGTAATGAACCTTGGATATAGGATATAATGAAATCTGTTTCTGCCTCTACACTTTGTTCAAAACTTGATGCTTTTCATCCACTTGTGTTAAAATATCCTACAAGTATAGTAATAAAAATATTTACTAGAATGAAAAAAAGAGAAATATATGAGATAAAATTTGATTAAATTTTTTTAATACATTAAAATGAAAATGATTTTGTTGTAATTTTAATTCTTTAACCGTTGAAAAAAAAGTTCATTGAAGCAGCATAAAAACTTGATAATATAATTTAGTTTCAGTACAGTACATATTTGCAATGTTGAATCCAACTGACTGCCCTCTCTGTTTTCAGCTGCTGCCTCTAGAAAATGATTTCTGCTTCGAAGTTTCCCCTGGTGACATTGATTGTGGTCTGGCTAGCATAAGGATGGTAATGAGCTGACAACAGTAATTGTGAGATTTCTGAAATACATGTATACCAATTTTGATGTAGGAGGA